AGAGAGAGAGAGAGAGAGAGAGACAGAGACAGACAGAGAGAGAAAGAGAAATAGAGAAAGAGAGAGAGCGAGATCGAGAGAGAGAAATAAGACAGAGAGACAGAGAGAGCTAGAGAAACAGAGAAACCTACCTTCCTGAGCGTGGCATACTGCTCCTTCTTCTCCTCCGGCAGTTCGCGGACGAGCGAATATTCGTCATAGTTTGTGATACCTGCAACGAGAAGCAGACGGACCAATGACGTCACATGCGTTCAAGCAGTAGTGGCGCCATGATGCAGATCGCCATGGCAATGGTGCACAGGTTGCTTCTTCAGGTCTGGCATCTTCCTGGATGCTGACGTCACTTACACCGATCCACTAGCTGGCGCCACCAACAGTACGGGTCGCTCTGACTGGCACCTTTCTGCATACACACGTGCACGCGCACCCGCACGCACACGCACGCACAAAAACACACAGGCCTCTTAGACAGTTGGCACTGCTGCTGCTGCCATGCATGAGTGTGGCTAGGGCTCAAATTATGCGGCACTTCGCTCCGACACAGCTACCGCTTGCAGCAATGAAGCTAACCCAACCTCATATAACAATTAATATATATATATATATATATATATATATAAACAAATATATATACATTACAATACAAATGCAACAAATATATATATATATATCTATAACATATTATATAATACAATTTGCCTAACAACAGGAGAAACAGCAAAACGAAAAGAAAGCATCACCTGGAATGTTCTACTGACCAGTAAAGCTATCACTTTACCCGGGCGCACGACCACGTACACACAGCCAGCCATTCACCTGCACACCTCTCGCGCACACGCACATGTACGCATCTAGTGCACATATTTGTACGCACCTAGTGCACATACATGTACGCACCTAGCACACATGCATGTACGCACCTAGTGTACATACATGTACGCATCTAGTGCACATACATGTACGCACCTAACACACATACATGTACGCACCTAGCACACATACATGTACACACCTAACACACATACATGTACGCACCTAGTGCACATACATGTACGCACCTAGTGCACACATACATGTACGCACCTATCACACATACATGTACGTACCTAGCACACATACATGTACGCACCTAACACACACACATGTACGCATCTATCACACATACATGTACGCACCTAGCACACATACATGTACGCACCTATCACACATACATGTACGCACCTAACACACACACATGTACGCACCTATCACACATACATGTACGCACCTAACACACACACACACATGTACGCACCTAGTACACACACATGTACGCACCTAGCACACATACATGTACGCACCTAGCACACACACATGTACGCACCTATCACACATACATGTACGCACCTAGCGCACATACATGTACGCACCTAACACACATACATGTACGCACCTAGTGCACATACATGTACGCACCTAGTGCACATATACATGTACGCCACACACACATGTACGCACTTAACACACACACATGTACGCACCTAGTGCACATACATGTACGCATCTAGCACACATACATGTAACCACCTAGTGCACATACATGTACGCACCTAGCACACATACATGTACGCACCTAGCACACATACATGTAACCACCTAGTGCACAGCACATACACTGTACACGGCACCTGAGTGCACACATACATGTACGCACACTAGTGGGCCATACATGTACGAAGCTGAAGCAATTATGCATCTAGTCCACATTACATGTACAGCACCTAGCAAGCACATAACATGTAACGCGACGCTAGCACACATACCATGTACGCCAACCTAGTGTACATACACCATGTATCGCACCTATCAGCACATACATTGACGCACCTATCACACATACATTACGCAACTATCAGCACTACATGTACGTCACCTAGCGCACCATACATGTACGCACCTAGTGCACACATACATGTACGCAACGCTAGCACCACACATACATGTAACGCACCTAGCACACAACATGTACGCACCTAGCACACATACTATGTACGCACCTAGTGGCACATACTGTAACTGACGACAACTACGCACCACACCACTGTACGCAACAATGTCTAAACAACGACACAGTAGACCAACACACATGTACGCACCTAACACACGCACACCCATGTACGCACCTAACACACAACATGTAACGCAACGGCTAACACACACACATGTACGCACTAACACAGACACAAGTACGCCGACCTAACGTGTCGCAGCTTAAACACACCTTACATGCTACGCACACATGCACATATGTACGCATTCTAGCAATAAGACTCCCTAGTCACACATACATGTACGCACCTAGCACACATACATGTACACCGCAGCACACCACACATACAGTACGCACTTAACACACACATCATGTACGCTTAACACAGCACACACACACGCACACACATGTACGCACCTAGTGCAATAACATGTACGCATCTAGGCACACATACATGTACCCACTAGTGCACACATACATGTAAACGCACCTAGTGCAACACATACATGTACGGCAACCTAGTGTATGGCGATACATGTACGTCACCTAGGCACACATACATGTACGCAGCCTAGCGCACATACATGTACGACCAACACACCATACATGTACGCACCTATCACACAAACATGTTACGCACCTATCAGCAGCTATACATAGTACGCCCACTATCGACACATACATGTATCGCCACACTAGACGCACATCACATGTACCCACCTAGTGCAGCATCATACATGTACCGAACCTAACACACAAACATCATTACGCCACACTAGCACACAAACCATGTATCGCACTATGCACACATACATGTACGCAGCCATAGTGCACATACATGTACGCCATCTAAGCCAGCACCAGCACATGTACCGACACCTAACACACACACCAGCATGTAACGACAGCTCAACACACAGCACATTACGCACACTAGCACACATCACATACCAGTACAACGCCTAACACACACACACACATGTACGCACTTAACAACACACACATGTACGCACCTAGTGCACATACATGTACGCATCTAAGCACACATACATGTAACCACCTACGTGCACATACATGTACGCACGCTAGCCATCAATACATGTATCGCACCTAGACACATACATGTAAGCGCAACCTAGTGGCACATACATATACGCACACTAGCAGCACATACATGTACCACCTAGACAACATACAATGTACGCTACCTAGTGCACACATGTACTTACCTACACACGATTACACGCGCAAGCGCAGAAATCGTGTGACCATCCACAACCGTTAATACTGCGTATAATTCCGAACTCGATCGCGTGCGACAACTAAGCATCGCCGCTATAATGAGTCATCTAACGGTACATTAGTTAGCGATATGACGACGACTCGATCGCTGCCGCGTCTGCAGCGATATCCAGGCATGTTTATACGCGACGTGATGCTGCCGCCCGCCGGCGCCGCAGCCATCAATCTACCCTTCAATGATATATATATATATATATATATATATATTGCAGGCTAGACTAAAAATGACATTTAATAAGTCATCAAGTCTGCTAATAAAATCGCTTGCTGCTGCACTTTGGGCATTTCGCGGGGGGCGGGTGGGTCGAGGTCAAGTTGCTGTAATGTGATATCTGGCTAGTTGGCATTTATAGCTAGGTAGTTAGGCATTGCTAGTTAGTACAAGCTCCGTACGTATTGCGAGGCACTAGCTGGGTAGTTTGGTACTGGCCAGGGTGCATAGGGTGTAGCATCGTAGGTAGAAAAAGAATTACATGTGCTTGTTTCTGTCCACATTTCGAAGGCTTATGGCAATTGTGCTCGTACCCATACAAACACGTTCCACGTTAGATTTACCCCTTTACCTGTTGATTAAACAACATACACATGTTGACTACCCCTTTAACCTGATTAAACATGTTACACTGTAGACTACGCCTTTTACCTGTTTGATCATTGCTTACCACTATTCATTCACTTTCAGACGCTTCTCCCATCACCTGTGCGAGTCTAAATGACATCTGGTATTTAATAACACGGCATCAGACGCGACTCAAACAGATGCACACAGGTAACACACACAGAACGCATAAGACACCACACCACACGCACATGCCGCGACACGGACATACTCCCACACATGGCCGCGGCACCACACACACACCGTAAGCGCAGGTACACACAACACACACAGCACACAACGCACGCGCACTAACAGCACCACACAGCAGCACACACACACACACACACACACACACACACACACACACGCGCACACACACACACACACACACACACACGGTTACCTTACACAACAGCAGCCGCTGTCTGCCGTTGTCCTGTCACCGTCATGCAGCCTAGAGCTTATAGTGACGGCATGATGCTATACGGGCTAATTTCAAGTGATGCCGATTGCTCCCACACATAGGGATTCTATCAATTAACAGCAAGCGGGATAACAAAGGTGCGAGCCTGCCTCCGTCTGGTGCGCATTCTATATGCGAATTCTATATACGCAGTGTAGAGACTGACACCCCGCGAGTCGTCGTTGGTAACAATGCACAGCCGCAGGGACGTTAGGAGGCAGTCTACGCTGCCGAGGAGAATATCATGGGGGGAGGGGATTCGCTGATGCCAGCGAAATTGCGATATATGCAGGCGGTGCATATATAGATATGTGAACATAGGCGGTATGCAGTACATATGTACATATGGGGCAAAGATAGAGAGAGCGCGCGCGCGAGAGATAGAGAGAGCGCGAGAGAGCGCGCGAGAGAGAGAGAGAGAGAGAGAGCGAGAGAGAAAGAGAGAGAGAGAGAGCGAGAGAGAGAGGGGGGGGGTAGAGAGGAAGAGCACGTGAATGAAACCTTGCGTGCGAGATATTAAGTTAGTTAATTAGTTAGTTAGATAGATAGATAGATAGATAGATAGATAGATAGATAGATAGAGAGATAGAGAGAAAGAAAGTGCACGCACGCACGCTCGCGTGTAATGAGTAGGCCAACGCTGCACCGTACTCAATTTGATACCTCTTTTGTTTGGCGGTGGCTGAATAGCGGGCGAGTGCGCCGTTCAACGGGATTGTGTACCGATTCAGCCGCGCACAATTAGCGCCACCAATTAAACGCCGCGCGACACAATCACGCGTTCTCGTGCGTTTTTGCGTTTCGGCGGCGGCCATTCGCGTAAACAATGCACGCAATCACTAGAGAAAGCCCTTTCACTGCCATAGACGAAACAGCGATGCTTGCCAACACTGTGCGCTCTCTCTCTCTCCTTCCCGCCCTCTCTTTCTTTCTCATTTTCTTTCTCTCTCTCTCTCTCTCTCTCCATCTGTCTCTCTCTCTCCTCTCTCTCTGCTCTCTCTCTCTCTCGCTCTTTCTCTCTTCTCTAGGTCCTCTTCTCTTCCCGTTCTCTCTCTCTGCTCATACCCTCTATCTCCTCTCTCGTTCTCTCTTCTCTCATCATTCCTCATCTCTCTCTCTCTCTATCTCTCTATCTCTCTTTCGCCTTGCGTCTGTCACTGTCTCTGTCTTTATGATGAACCGCAAATCCTATAACCTCTCTCCCACCCTCATCCCTTACCTTTGCCCCTCACCTCCTGCCGTCACCTATCCTGACTACTTCAAACCCAGCTCTTGCCATCCTTCGCAACCCTGTCTACGAGCCATCCCTGCAGGACCCCACCACCCTGACTATGAGCCCTCCCTGGTTGACACCGCCACGCTGACTCCGAGCCATCCTTGCCGGACCCCGCCACCCTGACTCCGAGCCATCCCTGCCGGACCCCGCCACCCTGACTCCGAGCCATCCCTGCCAGACTCACCTATGCGTGTGCAGATGGTCACCATCAGGTCACCGACATTCTTGCTGTCATCAACAAGCAGCGTCTTGACGGATCCGTCGAGCATGCGCACACGAAGCGTGCGGATCTTCTTCTTGTACTCGAGCAAGTCCTGAAAGAACAAGAGGAGGAGCTTAGACGGCGGGAACATCGAGACGAAACAGAGAGAGAAAGATTGAGAGGTGGGAGCGAAAGAGAGAGAGACACAGAGAGAGNGATTGAGAGAGATGATGGAGATGAGAGAGAGATGACGCTGAGAGAGAAACTGAGATGGAGAGAGTGTATTGAGCGAGACAAGAGAGAGGTTGAGAGAGAGAGATGAGAATGAGAGAGGAGACAGGGAGAGACGAGAATGAGAGAAGGACGAGAGAGAGAGAGAGAAGAGGAGAGAGAGAGAGAGAAGAGAGGAGGACGAGAAGAGGATGAGAGAGAGAGCGATGGGAGAGCGCAAAAGACTGGAGAGTAGAGAGACGGAGAGAGAGAGAGGAGGAGAGAGAGAAGAGAGAGAGAGAGAGAGAGAGAGAGAATCGAAGCCGAGAGGAGAGAGAGAGACAGAGCGAGAGGAGATGAGAATTGAGAGAGAGAGAGAGAGAGGAGATGAGAGCGAGAGCGCCAATTAATTCGCGCAGAGACGAGAGAGAGTAGAGAGAGATGAGAGCAGAGAGAGAGAGGAGGAAAGAGAGAGAGAAGGGGGGGGGTACGAGAGAGGAATAGGATGAGAGACGAGAGAGAGAGAGATCCTTTGGCATCAAGCAAAAGAAAGAATTAAGAGAGCTATAAGAAGCCATGGTACAAGGACAAAGAGATCGGAGAGGCAAACGTTTGTCGAATTTCTTATCAACATTTTCTATTTCCACTCTTAAATGCCTAAAATTCCTCACGAAAAATTAAAACTGTCTTACTACTCGACTGATAGGACGATCAGTCGGGAGAGTTAAGATGTTTTAATTTTAATTTTTAATTTTAATGGTTGCTCCGTGACCTGCATATGTGTGATACTTCATATCCGATGTCATTGATTATAAACGAATATCGATTACATAGGGCATGCCGATCCGGGGCTGAGGACGCTGCGTATAGACATTAGGCAGGGAGTTATTACAGGCCAAATAAGGGCGTTCGCTAGACTAATCTACTGCCCTTTCCAGATTTTCAATAATTTTGCGTGCACGAAGCGAAACTGATATTTCATCTCTGTTGAGATGCCTGTTAAACCAACACATTAACTTACTGAAAACTTAACTTTATGATATGCACGTTTTACATTGTCTTAGAGTATTAGTGTGTGTGTGTTTACCGATATATTAATGCAACTTGCGCTCTGCTCAAATCTACCGAATTTGTAGATGGTGTGAAAAACGGTAATTGGAATTTGGTATATTTATTCAGTAAGCAGCTGTCAACCTTTCTCACTCTCTTTTCCTCCTCGTCGCTTTCTCTGTCCGGCTTTCTCTCTCTTTCTCGCTCTCTCTCTCTTTTGTCTTTCTCTCCCTTTTTTCGCTCTCTTCTCTCCCGCCGTCTATTTCTCTCGCTTTCTCGCTTCTCGCTCGTCCTCTGCTGTCTTTCTCTCTTCTTCTCTCGGCTACTGCTCTTTTTTGCGCGGCGGCTTCTCTCATCTCTCTCTCTCGCCTCTCTCTCTTTCTCTCTCTTCTCCTCTCTCGCCTCTCTTCTCTCTCTTTCTCTCCCTCTTCTTGCGGTCGCTCGTAGTCTCTCATCTCTCTCTTGTTCTCTCTCTCTCTCTCTCTCTCCTCGCTGCTCGCTCTCCCTACTCGCTCTCTCTTCTCCTTCGGCTCGCCTCGCCTCTCTCTCTGCTCTCTCTCTCTCTCTCTCTCTGCTCTCTCTTGCCTCTCTCTCTGTCCTTTCTCTGGCTCTGGTGTCGCTCTCTCTCTCTCTCTCTCTCTCTCTCTCTCTCTCTCTCTCTTGCGCGCCGGCCTCCATCTCTTGCGCGCTCTCTCTTTTTCTTTCAAGCTTTGTTGAAAAACTCACTCCCTCTCTGTTTCTCTCTCACCCAGTCTGTTTCTCTCTCATTTCCTTCCTCTCTCCTCTCTCCTCTCTCTCTCTCTCTCTCTCTCTCTCTCTCTCTTTCTCCTTCACACTCTCCCTCTCTCATCACCGATTATGAAGATGAGGATATCATGACCTATTCCCCCTCCCATCATCATCGTCGTTGTCATCATCATCATCATCATCATCATCATCATCATCATCATCATCATCATCATCATCATCATCATCACTGATTATGAGGATGAGGATATTATGACCTACTCCCCCTCCCACCATCATCGTCATCATCTTCGTCATCGTCATCGTCGTCATTGTCGTCGTCGTCGTCATCATCACCATCATCGTCATCACCGATTATAATTATGATTATGAGGATGAGGATGAGGAAGTTGTGGGACATGAAGCCATGTCCCGTGCGTGTGAGTCACGTGCGTGGCGCCAGGCAGCTTACAAGCGGCGTCACCCACACACGGTGCGTTACACAGGGTGAAAGCATGTCCTGCTTTTGCCGCTGGCCCCACCATCCCAACGATATCCCGCCATCCCAATACAATCATGCCGATTATATACACACGCGCACACACACGCACGCACGCACGCACCTCACACATACACACACACGCGCGCACGCACACACTCACACACGCACACACTCATGCACACACACACACACACACACACAAGCAGCCGCATAGGCACACGTGCGCGCACGAACACACAGACGTGCTCGCATGCATGCACACAAACACAATCGTTGTAAAACTTCGCACTATTTCGTGCTTGTATTGTCATTTTGTCATTTTGTCATTTTGCCCTTCATCACTTCTATTTATTTTGATTCATTTTTAATTTTTTTTTTCAGCATTGGCTATTAACTTGTTTAACTAATATGTTACCTCCAAAATGTAATTGATAAGTGTAAATAAAGTAATTGAATTGAATTGAGTTGTCAAATAGAATGGTTATGATACGTTATCGATCGAGATATATCAGAAATTTTATTATTTTAACTGCTCAACACTATTGCATTTATCAGATGTTTTCGCCATGAAAAAGACAAGTATTTGTATTTGAACATTTTTTGCATGCAATTGCATGCAATAAAGATTTAATAATAATAATAATAATAACAATCAACACGGGGGCACTCACAGCATTTCTCAGCATGTAGTACTCCAGTGACCTGCTTGGTTCTAGCCACACTCCCTTCTTCACATCCTCATCGGCAAGAAAGAGATTGTAGTCAGCGGCTGCAAAAAACAACAACACAACTTATTTATTTATATATATTTAATGAATTTTTATTTTATTTATTTATTTAATGCATTTTTATTTTATTTATTTATTTAATGAATTATTATTTTGTTTTATTTATTTACTTAATGAATTTTTATTTTATTTACTAATTACTTTATTTATAACATCCAGGATTTCACAACAGAACATGATCGAGTGTGCGCACACTCTTGTACAACGCACTGCCGCGCAGCAACCCCAACCATGACAACTGTAGCAGCGGCGCCATAGTAAGTTTGCACGCGTACACACGGGACAGCCCTAACCTCGTTATCACCCGTCTATAAAAAAACACTCGCTATAAAAAAAATGGAAATAAGATTCGAAAAAAAAAGAAAATCGATTTAACAAAATTAATTCCCCAGGGAAATCGTAGCATCGTATTTGCGCGTGCAAACGAGTTGGAAAAGACAATATTTCCGGAGTTCGCAGCTGTTCTTGTCTCTAAATTTATTAGTACAGATGACGCATTTATACACAAACAGCTGCTGTGATAAATAGTGTGTTGCGTACACACGATATTAAGTTGACGATAGTGAGCTATTGTAAAAAAGCACGAAGGCGTTGGTGACTCTAATAAAAGGTCATGACCTCTGGTAATAGCGTTCTAATTCGTCAGTAATGAAAAAAATTGTGACTCACTGCATTGAGAAATGCTTTTATTGAATTAAAACTGCTGGGTTCACATGCTATCATTTTCGTATTACACTTGTATCTTTCAGCACTTCCCCCGCCCCTGTCTCCTCCCTGTTTCATGATTCATCTTTTCCTCCTTCTCCTCCTCCCCCCTCTTCTCCTTCTCCTCCTTCTCCTCCTCCCCCCTCTTCTCCTTCTCCTCCTTCCCTTCTCCTGCTCCTCTGCTTTTTTTCTCATGTATCTATTTATCATTCATCTATTTTCCCCACATTCTTACCGACATAACTGTCCTAACCCGCTCCAACAAGAAATTGTCGGCCTCTTTATTCTGTTCTCCATTCCCGCTCCCTATTTAAATCCTTCGTTTCGGTCTCTCTCTCTCTCTCTCTCTCTCTCTCTCTCTCTCTCTCTCTCTCTCTCTCTCTCTCTC